TTTTTAAAATCTTAGTAGGCTTTTACATAGTCCAGTCTGTCAGGCTTTGTCTTCAACATATTCACTGCATTTTATTTGTGTTCTCCTGCATAGAAGTCATCTAGAGATCAGTAATCCTGTCAACTCAGAAATTACCTTTGTAAATAGTCCTAGTCACATGATGTTATTTATGTAAAGAACTGTGGAGCAAGGTGTGGTGGTACACACCTTTAGTCCCAGCACTCGCGAGGCAGAGGCAGACGATCTCTGCGAGTTCTAGGTCAGCCTTGCCTACATAGTGAATTCCAAGCCAGCTGGGGCTGCAGGATGCCCCTGTTTCAAAAAGATGAAAAGAAATAAATAAAAAACTATCAAGACAGTTGTCAGGACTTTTCTTTGTTGTAAAGCAAGACGTAAAAACAGCATCAAATTATAAAATACTTGTAAATCAACTACAATGGGTGAAATATGTTAACTTCCCAGAGCTCTCTGATATCTGATAGATGAGTGTTTGGAAAATCTATAGCTTTTTTAATGTGATCTTTAGTTCTATGTTTACTATTATAAGCTGGTTATGTTTGATGATTTAGTTATTGAAACTCTTTAGTAAACATACATATCTTCACACATAGCTGACCCGTAGAAAGAATGGACTAGATAAAAATACCTGAGAACTATCATAATAATTTTCTATATATTTTCTATATATTATCCAAAATTTCAGTCCTGAAGGGTCCAGTGGTCTTGCCAAAAATAATACCTTCATTTGGGGAACCATAGGATGTATATACCCCTGGATCTGCTTTCTGGCTTAAAAGAGTCTAGTGAAAAGATAGACTAAACTCCAAGGTAGCAGAGCCTGAAGCACCCTTTGCACAACTGAACTGAAACTGAAATGTTACATGATTATGTTCATGTATATTTGTTTATAGGTATCTTGATATTTCCTAAGAATATCATAGCAAATTTAACTTTATTTTTCTTCTTTCCAAAGCCATATGAAGGATTAAGGCCTCAGGATCTTCGTAGATTAAAAGATATGCTTATTGTGGAAACCGCAGACATGCTTCAGGCGCCTCTGTTTACTGCGGAAGCTTTACTTCGAGCTCATGGTAATGAGAGAAATGTCTTATGCTTCTGATACATGGGTGCCTTTTGAAACTTCAGAGTTAGAAGTTGACTCTTATTTTAATATAAAATTAGATAATTTGTTACACAGACCTACATAGTTTTTGTTCAGCTTTTTCTGTAGTAGTCATCATCCTCTGACACTTGATATTTGATACATGAAGTAGCTTCAATCAGAGAAAATTAGAAATTTCCTTTTTAAAAACTGAGCTATTTTGCTGAAGTTATTCAAGTATCAAATTGTACTAGCTCAATTAAATATCTGGAATTGTGTTATTGTTTGTCAATTGTATTTATATAAAAGCTGTTTCTCATGTACAAAATGAAGTTAAGATTTGAGACAATGCTCTTTTAAGTTTTTTTTTGAGGGGGGGTCTTTTTGAGATAGGGTCTTCCTGTAGCCCCAGCTGTCCTGGAACTCACTGTGTAGACCAGGCTGGCCTTGAACTCACAGAGATCCGCCTGCCTCTGCCTCCCAAGTGCTGGGATTAAAGGCGTGTGTCACCATGCCCGGCCCTAAGTTTTTGTTTTTATTTTTGCTTTTGAGGGGTAATTTTTCTCTTTTAAGATATCAACTCAGAATATTTTAAGTTAGTTTTAATTCCTGCGATTCTTATTATAGGCAGTCACTGTGGAAGTTGTCACATGCTGTGCTGGATTCTGATTGCATACTTGATATTTTGTCTGGTATTAAGAACAGGTTTTTTTTAACTTTAAAATGAATTTTAGTAATAGGTCAGTGCTAAATTTTAGCAAATATTTAAGAGAGAATAGTAAGTATCTGCTCTATTCCAGTTATTTTGATTTTTTAAATTTTTTTTTATTCTGTCCCCACCGGCACCCTCCCATAGCCCCCTCACTGAAACCTATGTACTCTGTCATCGTGTTAAGGCCCACTGTTTCAATTCAGTATCCCCAGATGTTCCCCAGGACAAGTCCACCCACTGAGGTCTAGTCAGCCTGTCTAGAGTCTCTTGTTTTAGGAAGATTAGCCCTTCCTCACCTAACAGTAATCAGCTGCCAATATTTCTTTAGCTAAGATTGGAGACTGCTATTCGGTTCCCTGGTTCTATGCTGGAGTTTTATGTGCCTGAGTTTTCACTTGTGTATGCTGACACCATTGCCATAGAATCATATAAGCAGGGTCCCCAGAGCTTGTAGGACTCTTTCCACATGGCCCTGCACCTCCTCCCTGGCTTTTGCAATCTTTCTGCCTCCTCTTCTGCAGTGGTCCCTGAGCCCTGGGTTATTTTGATATTTTTAGCAAGAAGTCTTTATCCTGTATACCAAATTTGAATGCCAGCTCCCAAAATGTTGATGTCATCCTTTGATCATAAGAAAATTCAGAACTCCATATTTTATCATTAGTTAATAACCATTATTGATGATTTGCTCTATAAACCTTCCAAATCACCTCCTTCAACATTGATATTACATGATTTGGCCATTGGCATTCTTTCCTTCTGAACTACCATACAAGTATTCTGTGTGTGGGAAATTAAACATAGATTTCTAGGGCTAGCCCCAGAGGGTCCGCATAAAATGCATTTAAACAAGCCTGCAAATGAACTACTGTAAAACAGTTTCTAATATCACCTGAGTAAGGGCAGGAGAGAGGACTCAGCAGTTAAGAGTATTGGTTGCTCTTCCAGATTTTTCCATCACCTACATAGCAGCTAGCACTGCTATGGTTCCTAAGTCCAATTTCAGGGAATCCAATGTCCTCTCCTGGCCTCCATGGGCATTGCATACACATGGTGCACTCACATACATGCAGGTAAAACATATAAAATAAAAATAAATTTTAGAACCACCTGAGTAATAACAGCTGTATCTACAATCTGGCTTTAATCGTGTATTCTAGACTATATTTCTAAATGCCCATTTCTTCCCCAACCTGACAGTGTCCTCAGCTGAACTCTTCATTGATAAGTGGGTACCAGCCATTCACCCTAAGTGGAAATTTGAATGTTATGTCTTTTTTTTTTTTTTTTTTTTTTTTTTTTGTCTTTTTGAGACAGGGTCTTTGTGTAACCCCAGTTGGCCTCGCATGCACTATGTAGACCAGGCTGGCCTCGATCTCACAAAGATCCACCTGCCTCTGCCTCCTGAGTACTGGGACTAAAGGCGTGTGCCACATCACCCAACAACTCTGTCTCTTATACCTGGCCAAATCCTGTCGTTTCTCTCCTAAATGTCTCTCAGTGGACTCCCCACCTTCCCTTGCTCTTTCCATCCCCACTGATGACTGAAATTTAGACTCTTGCTGGTTTTCATCTTTATAGTGCCCTTATTTCTGGTCTCTAGTTTTGTTGCTTTTTCACCCAGTACATTTTCCTATTTCTATTACAATGACCTTTTAATTTTATGTGCATGAAACTTCTGCATGTCTCTTAAGTGCACCACATGCGTAGAATGCCTGAGGAGGTCAGAAGGTATTGGATCCCCTGCAACTGGAGTTACAGACAGTTGTTACCTACCATGATGGTTCTGGGAACTGAACCAGGTCCTCTGCAAGAATAGCCAGTGCTCTTAACTACTGAGCCGTCTCTCCAGTCCCTTTATTTTTCATCCTTTTTTTTTTTTTTTTTTAAACTTTTTGAGACAGAGTCTCCCTGTAGCCCCAGCTATCCTGGAACTCACTATGTAGACCAGGCTGGCCTTGGCCTTGAACTCACAGAGATCCGCCTGCCTCTGCCTCTGGAGTGCTGGGATTAAAGGCATGTGCCACTACGCCCAGCATCCATCCATTTTTTAAAGAAGTTATTTTAATTATGTGTAATGTATTTGAGTGTGAGTTTATGAGTACAGTACCCATGGAGACCAGAAGAGGGTTTTGGAGTCTCCTGGAGCTAGGGTTACAGACAGTTGTGTGCTGCCTTTTGAGGATGCTAGAAACCAAACTCAGGTTCTTTGTAAGAGCAGTGCATGTTCTTATCTCTTTACCCCCCAACCATCCAATTTTTGAAGGTAGACTTTATGACAGAGGCTTCTTTATCTGGATTGTTAGGTCTCTTCACTTCTTTTACCTTAGGTAGCCCAACTTGTCCTTAAAAAAAAAATCTCCTCTTCTAGAATGTTTTCTGATCAAGTCTCCTTTGAGACCCTTGTTTTCATTATATTTCATACATATGTGTCTTAATACAATTAGGAAATAGTATGTAATGTCTTATTTGCTTTTTCCCTTTTTCAGCCTAGGAACTACATAATGGCTTTTGTGTGTTTGCTTCCACAATACTAAATGTATATTAAGCTCAGAAAATAGATGTAAAATGAATAAAACATATGAAAGGTTATTTACGTGGTTTTTTTAAATCTATGTTTTTGCTTTATAATAACATTTCTCTGTTGTCATCTTTTAAACATTGAAGTAAATTCTGAGTCAAAAATTAAATTTAGAAATTCAGAATAGCTCTTTAGGACTGGAATTCTAGCTCAGTTGGTAGAGTGCTTGTCTAGCTAGAAAGCCTTGAGCTTATCCCTGCCAACAAATAAACTGGGCATGATGGCACTCATTTGCAATTCCAACACTCTGGAGGTGGAAACAGGGTGATCAGAAGTTCAAGATCATCCTCATCTATGTCACAAATTCAAGGCCAGCCTGAGCTATTATAGGACCCTGCCTCAAAAAAAAATTACTTTTAAAATCATATAATTTAATGGGAAAATACTTTCCTTTTAGGTAATGATAATGTTTAGTAATTAAAGTATGATAACTTGTACAGAAGTTTGACCGGCTTGGGTCCTATCACTCAGGAGGCAGAGGCAGGAGGATAAAGAGTTTAGGACCAGCCTGTGCTACATAGGGAGACCCTGTCTCAAAGAAACTATAACATCCGCCAAACTAGAACAGAAATATAAAGTACTTTAAATTGTGTTAACATGTTTCTTTAGGTAAGCTTCTTAGCACCACCAGGTATGTTCTATCCTTTGTTTGAACTTTTTATACATAGTGTATATTAAATATAGTATATAAAGGCAGGTATCATGCCTGTTACCTCAGCACTTGGGAGGCTGGGGCAGGAGGATCAGGACCATAGGTTACATAGTAAATTTCCATACAGCCCTGGGCTACAGAGATGCTCTTTCAGAAACATAAATTTTTTTTAAAAAAGGAAAAAAAATAAGTAGTTTAAAAAAATAAAGTGCAGTCTCATTCCAGTTGCAGCTGAACTAGTCACTTCCCCTTTCTGGCCTTCTTTGTGCTCATTTTGTGAAATAAAAAGATTGAATTGCTAGATTTTTTCCATGCCTAAGATGAAAAGGTCAAATCTGGAAGTTGAAAAAATGGGCAGCCATTTAAAGAAGGAAGGCACTGTAATAATGGGAGGTAGTAGGTCCTACAGGATACTGTCCCCTCATCTGACATGTCCCTGGAGGCCACAGATGGGCATTGCTGTACTGTATCTAACATCACAAGCCATGACTGTCACATCACAATGACTAACAAATTTTCTGAGTAATGGATTGCATAGAGGCAACTAGAAAATTGAGGAATATACCTCGAGAATAAAAATGAGAAATGTGTATTAATAACTTACTGCTTAACCATCTTGAGGTCCCTGGGGAAGGCTTGGGGATTCAGCCAGGGTCGATCTGGGACTCGACCAGTGCTCCTGACATCTCATTTGAAGGCACAATCCAGTTTCTTTTGGGGTGTTAGTCAATTCCTTGTCCTATGGACCTCCCTATGGAGCATCCATAACAGGGCAACTTGGTTTATCAGATGGAGCAATCAGGAGGACAAGAAAAGTGATAGCAAAATAGAAAATGCATACCCCAAATGATCACTGCAGAGCCTCAGCACTGAATAGGATGGTCCTAACTTTTCAGTTTCATTTTGTCATATGTGGACCATATATATACATATGAGTGTGTGTGCCATATGTCCATATACATATGGTCCATATGTCCATATATATATATGGTTCATATATGTGTATATCTTTTATATTATCTAATCTCCAAAGTAATTCTGATCCAC